AGCTGGGCTGGAGGCGTGTGGGGCTGTTCTGTCACACAGTGAGTGGGTGTCCCCAGCCCAGATTTAGACTGTTGAGGTACCTGTTTTTAGGTGCTCTTGCAGTCACCAGAAGGAACGAGCACTGCTCGCTGCATTTCAACTCATTCAGTCAGAGCAGCCAACTCAAGTCCTACTGTGTGCCTTTCCTCTCAGACTGGTTTGTAGGCTGGGTCAGTTGGTCTTTACACTGAAGGATTAATGAAACATGCATGTGGGGTGGGCACATCAGGGGGAAAAAGATGGTTGAAAAGTAGGAGGATGTGATCCATAAAACTGGTGTGGAATGACACTTTTAGGAGCCAAGATCAAAAGAAAGGCTGTGGTTTGTCATGGAGCACTACTTCTCACCTGGCTTTGTGGGGGTTCAGGGAGAGTCTGGAGAAGTTTAGAAGACACGTCTGTTAACAGCTACTTACTTAGAAGTAGTAGTTAACAGTTAACTACTTACTTTCTGGTTCAGAAAGTCCTTGAGCTCAACTGGTCAGACGCTGGAGGATCTTCTGGCCATTTCTGTATGCTTCTGAACATGTGGCTCAACAGACACCAAGTCTGACATGGTGCTGCTGCTTTGTAGATGCTCGGGAGCAAGAGCTCCCCCAACAACTGGCTAAACCACTGAGTTACCCCATGATATACACGCATGGCAAAGAACTTGGAGAGCTCTTGAGGCAGCTGCCTACAGCCCAGGTAAGGGATGCCATTTGGTCCATCACAAGAGAATTGAAGAGCAGGAGCTGAAACTGCAGCCAAAAACCTTCCTCCTTGGCTGGGAGAGAGGCAAGAGAGTGGGATGCCTCTGCATCCCACAGTGCTGACAGGAAAGGGAAGCATTTTTGTTAAAAATTGCCAGACATACACCCTTCCATTTTGTGCAAAAAACAGATAAAAGCCAGAAAACAAACTGGCAGAACATATAGAACCTCAACCTGTTTCAAAGACATCACCCAAAAGACCTGTCAAATTATTTTGTGTTGAGCGGGGATATAAATAATGCTGTGGCATTAAATAAGACTAAGCTGCAGGAACCTGTAAGACTACTAGACAGAATTTGCTTGAGCATCTGGTATTGTGTGATATTACTGTTCTGACCATTACGTTGCCGAATCGTGACCGTTCATGATGTAGATATCGCAGGGTGGGAGTTCTTTCTTGGAGCCTCAGTGTTCTCTCTTACAAGCCCAACCTCTGTTGAACTTCAAGGGAGAATCAAACATAAGGGGTGAAGCTTTGGTCCATCTTGGAAAATAATGTGCTTTTAACTGTAAAAAAAAATTGAAGTCTATGATACAGCAGAGGTTAGGACCAAATAAATCAAATTCATAGCTTACGTTTTCCACCCTAATCTTTCATCTCAGGTTTGGCCAGTTCAGCAATCCCCGTTCAGATTTAGCAGTGGAGAACTCTTACTTATGTAAAAGTGCAACAAAAAACAAGGCTACACAACAGTCTTTGGAGGAGGATTTAAGCTGGTGAGTACATTACAGAGAAATCAGAAGATGGTTTCTGGCAGAAGATAGTCTCGTGGAAAGGAACAAAACGCAGTGGTGGGTTACAGCAGAGGCACCTGCCGAGGTGAAAACAGAGGAGAAAGCTGCTGTTATGCAATAAAATTCCGGAGTTTGACATTCAGAGCTTTTTCTTTAGTCAGTAAATCGGTCGTGTGCTTTTTGTAAGCATCGAACTGCAGCAAGAGTTCGTTGTACGCCTCCTTGATGCTTTCGAGCTCTCGTTGGAGCTCTTGGACCTTCAGATCATTGTCCACCGCTGCTGCCTCTTTCACAAGGTGCTTTCCTGCTCTCTGCCTGGCTTTTCCTGCAGTCTCCAGCTTCTTCCTCAGCTGCTGAATTTCCTCTTGCTTATCTTGTAGAGCTTTGCCCCTCTCCACGGCCAGGTTCAGTAGTTGTTCTTTCTCCTCCTTTGCCCTCTCCAGCCTGGCCTGCAGCTCGCTGCCCCGAGCCCTCTGCTCGCTTTCTGCGCTCTCCACCTGCGCGACAGTTTGTTGGTGCTTCTCCTGTAGGTGTTGCAGCTGGTTTTTCAGTGAATCCACTTCCCAGGTGTAGGCACTTGCTTGTTGGCTCTGGGCTTCCAGCAGCTCCTTCTCTCGCTCCAGGGCTCTGTGACTCTCATAAGCACATTTCTCTTCTAAAGAGTTTAACTCTTGTGAGAGCTTTCTGGCCTGGGCAGTGAGCTGGAGCACTTCGGCTTCCTTCTCCCTCAGAGTCTGGCTGAAGAGCGCGTCGTTCTCCTGCCGCAGGCGCTTATTCTCCTCCCGCAGCTGCATGTGCTGTTTCTTGTGTTCGTTCTTGAACTGGATCATTTTTTCATGGTTGTTGGCCAGGTCCATGAAGCGCCCTTCTAATTGCTGAATCTGTTGGCTCTGGGTTTTTATTTTCACAGCTTCCTCTGTCCTCAGTTTCTCCAGCTCCACGTTGAGCTGCTCCAGGTCTCTGCAGCGTTTGTCTGCGTCGTCTGCTTTTTTCTTCAGTATGCAGATAAGGCGATGCTGCTGTTCTAGGCGTGAATGTAGCAGAGCCTCCTCACTCTTCTCCTCTCTGAGGCTCTCACAGAGTTCCTCCAGGCCTTTTGTCAGATCTTCCATGTCTTTGTCCATCTCTGGATCACTCGTGGTGTTGGCCATCCCTGCCTGTCTGTCATCCTGAGCCATGGAGCTCCTGTCTCGTACCAAGATGAGACAAAATTATTGATAGTGACCACTTCTCTTAGTGACATTCAGTACGTTTATAAAGGGTTGGGTGGCCAACACCACTGCGATAAGCTGGTGGAGTTCCTCTGGAAGTCCAGAGAATGCAAAAGCAAAGAATGTAGGCTTAGTATTTATCCAAGCCTATTCATTAGCTGATTACCAGCCTTGCTAATTACTCCTTCTCAAAGCACTGCTGTTGTAGCTACGAGAAGTGCTGTTATACTTGGGTAAAAAGCTTGTAAGTAATTCCTTAAGCAATCCTTTTCCCCTGCCTTTATTTTCTCCTACAGATCTCCCAAGTAAAACATGGGAGAATTACATCAAGTTTCTAATTGATTTATAAGATATATTGCTCATTAAAAATAACTGAATGGCCTTATCCCATGCTTAGCAATTTATGAATAAAATAAAAGATCTGTACAATGCTATTAATTAATTACTGAATGCCCTGTGATACAACAGCTTGGTGCCTGGAGAAATGGTTCGTCACTTGAGTTTTGACACCAATTTGCTGCGTTATTTTAGGCATTTAATTTTAAAAGTCTGGTTCACTGTGTGAAAATAAGGGAAATATTTGTATTCTATTGGCACCAAAATCATTATTGGTGTCTGATCACACAGCACACTAGCCAGACGTATGACAAGTCAGCCTACAACTGGTCCATGAGGTTTTCATTCAGGTGCAGATCTGAACACAGCACACCGTGCTGGTCATTGGGATCTGTGAATTCCTGGGCTTTGGCTGGAGGTGGAGATGGGACGTGGGAAGGAGGCAGCTTAAAGGAAGGACAAAAAATGGTGTATGACCAAAATGAGTTAAGGCTTGTGAAGCATGGACAGTGTCAGAGCTGCACGGCGGTGACCATTAGGTTGGTGCCCTGCATTTCCCTACCACCGTTGCTACCTTGGATCCTGCCAAACATGTGGAAATGATGGAGGAGACTGGGAAGGACTAAAGGGTTTAGGTCATCCAGTGGAAACACAACAAAGAGCAGGGTTTAACAGGAGAAAAATGTTTTCTTACCTGGTGTTTTCCTTCCCCTGATGGTTTGTTGCCATAAAAAATGCTGTGAGGTTTCTGTCTCCATGGAGATAAGAGGCTGAATCCAGTCACCCCAGAGCTGGTGCCTTCCTCTGGGCTGGTTGGAACTGGGCCAGCCTCACCAGAGTGGCTGAGAGAGCCAGGAGTGTTTCTCAGCAAACAAACGCTGTGGACACTCTCAAGAGCACCCAGGTTTGGGAAAGGGAAGAGGATTTCCACGAGTCTGAAGAACTCCTCTCTCAGCTTCTGCCCTGTGTGTGTCAGAGGTCAGAATAGCAGGCTCTGACCTCAGAACATGCTGGAGGTCCACGGTAAGTAAAGACACAGCCTTTAGATGAGATGTGAGGAAGAAATTCTTCACTGTGAGGGTGGTGAGACACTGGAACAGGTTGCCCAGAGAAGCTGTGGCTGGGCCTCCCTGGAAGTGTTGAAGGCCAGGTTGGATGAGGCTTTGAGCAACCTGGTCTAGTGGAAGGTGTCCCTGCTGATGGCAGGGGGGTTGGAACTGGAGGAGCTTTAAGGTCCCTTCCAACCCAGACCACTCTGTGATTCTTTACCCTAAACTTGCTACTTTATTGAGCAATTAATGAAAAATCTGGCAGATGGGATTGGGAAGGGAAAAATAATGGAGCTGGAAGGAAGAAGTTGGTGCAGGTTTTACTGATTCCACTGGAAAAGGATACAAAGCAAAGAGGAGCGAGTGCTGTGGGAGGAGGATACGGAGGGAACACGACAAGGAGGGCGCAGCACCAGGTCTTTCCAAATGGGTGTGTCCTGGTTTGTAGCCGGGACAGAGCTGGGTTTCTTTTTAGCAGCTAGAACAGCGCTGGGGTTCGGTTTCAGCCTCAGATTTGTTATGAAACTTTGGTAACACACCAGTGTTTTAATTTTTGTCGCTGGAAGTGAAGGACTTTGTGTTCTGTCTACAAGGGCAAGATCTAGTGGGGGTGAGGAATATTTAAATTAATAAGCTAAATTGGCATTTGGATCTCCCACTGGGATATTCCATGTCATATCACGTCATGTCCAGTATATTAGTGAGGGTCTCTTCCTCTTTTAGCTCTCTCTGGCTTTCGCTTGGGCTCTCGCTCTTCTGGGATTGCAGGATTGTGGCTCCTCCGGGATCAGGCCAGGCTTGGTGCATTGTGTATCACTCATTTGCATGTTTTATTATTATCATTATTATGTTAATATCATTATTATTTTAAGTTTTATTTCAATTATTAAACTGGTCTTATCTCAGCCTACCAGCCTCCTTACCCTTGCCCCTCAATTCTCTCCCCTGTCCCCTGAGGACGGGCAGTGAGCGAGCAGCTGTGTTTGGCTGGCCAGCCAAGTGCAACCACCACGGGGTAAAATCAGAATGATGTGACTTAGGCACCAGCTCAGGTTTGCAGGTTTACTGGCAGAAATGGGAGGTTTCTGAACACAGAGCATGAAAGGAGAGGTGGGACTTGGAAGCCTGGTTTAGAGGAAGTAAAAATGGTAAAAACTTAGAACACATACACACACACGTATATGCATATACTTATGTGTGTACAAAAAAACCCCAAAAAAACATTCCAGGCTAAAGCAAAA